GAACTAAATGGGTAAACAGAGGAAACTGAAGTAGTTAAACTACTTGCATTCACTAAAATGCAAGTGAGAAATATTTAACATGAAATCTGCAGCAAAAAGTAAATTGAGACAAAAAATTAAAACAAATTGGTTGCTAAATACCCTACAGCTTATAAAAGTTTTTGAAACAGTAGTAAATGTTGACAGGGATTTTCATGTCCCTGCTCAAAACACCACTTAGGTGAATCACTGAAGTTTCTTTTCATGCTACTTCTCTGTTACAAATGAGCAGTGTTAGAATACAAATTTACTACACAGTTTTAGGTGTTCAACAGAGCAGATTAAGAGATGGAATATCTGCCAACAATACAAACATTCATTCGACAATACTCTTTCTCTCCTTCTTAACACAAAGATATGTTACACCACTAGTCTGTGACTATTTAAACACACATGACATTAAGTGACTAGATGCAAAAGCAATACAATACCTTCCTCTTCACTGGAAGTCTTAGGGCAGCCATGGGGAAGATACGTTAACTGAACTTTGCGATTTATGCCTGAGAAGTGACCGTACCTGAAGTGGGAACAGGGAAAAGTGAGAGGGGAAGAAGGAGAGAAGCATTTTAAATATTTTTCTCCCAAACTGCTATGTTCCTGTAGCAAGATATAATAAATCTACACTGGTCACTGATTTGTGCATTTGACCATTTATTGAGGGAGTGCTTAGATCAAATGTCAGCTCAAGAAGCACAGAATTAACAGAAATAACAATCATTCTGTAAAGGGACATCTTAAAATACTGTCTACTACTATTGTGTACAACACTGAACATAAAACTGGAAAACACCCCCAAACAACAAAAGGCAGCATTTGCAGATTGCACAAGTAATTTATTTATTTAGATCCAAAACTACAGTGTCGACAGCTACAATTATTTTTAGCCCATTAAGCTCTTAAGCAGAACTCAGTGTTTCAAACAGTTAAAATAAACTTCAAGAGCAACTGTCTGCACCTGGATATTTTTTTAATTAAAATTATATACTACCATTTAAAGATCTCAGACCTTTAACAAACCTTAGAATCTTATTTTTCTTCCTGTTGTTTTCTGTTTGTCTGGTTGGGTTTTAAACTTTAAAAAAATTACTAAATATTTCAGTCTTAATATACAAAGACATTTATTTGCAATCCTCCAAGTTTTCTGTAAGTAGACAAGTACACATGGTGAAAACTCTTACTGGCTCTATCAGATTTCATTATGTCACACCGCAAGAGGCAGAGCATGCAAATACTTCCATTTTGAAAACATGCAAGAATATAAAATTTGACAGCCAATAAAGTAACTTTCTCATGTTGGAAGCATACCGAGACACTATATACAGCAATAACTTCAATTAGAAAGACAAGGCGAAAAAAACAGAGATGGCCCAGTTCAAACATTACAACCTTTGTGCCTACATTAATAAATCATTACATATTTGATAACACTGGATTCCAAGTAGTAACTGGTGAAACAGGTCAAAACTACAAACAGAGCTTCGTTGCTATGAAGACTGAAAATGAGACACTTACATTTCTAACACGGTCTTTAGCTGTTCAAGTTTTGCTTTACTTTCTTCAATTTCAGAATCATTGTTCTGCCCAAGTTCTACAAGGAGCTGCCTCGCTATATCAAGCACTTCCTAAAGAAAGGAAACACAGGATTTACTAAATAAATAATTTGCTACTTACAAAACATGGCAGCAAGAAAATGAAGACAAACTTGCCTGCAACTGTTTTGGTTTTTTCAGTTTTAGTTTTCCAGATTTATATCCATCACATTTTTCAAAGAGATCAAAAAATCTTTAAGGGAAAGAAAAGCGATTAAAAAATTCAGTTAATAAATTAAAATACTACTTGAACAAGTGACTCTTGAACTTAATTATTTGAAATCAGCACCTTTACACTATTTGAAAATCATGTTAAAATCTGCACTACAGAGGTCAAACCAACCTTTATACAAGTCCCATTTTCCAAGAAAGTCTTTAATACATTAGATAAATAAGAGGACTAAAAACGTTCCCTTACTGACTTACTTCATATTAAAAAAAAGGATACTCTGTATATTTGAATGACATAAAATCTGAATATATAGCTATGTCAATTCTTAATCTTCAAGAATGATTCTGAACAGAAGTATGTACCAAAGATACCAAATCAGTAGTCCTACGCTTTCGCAGCATGTTCTGAGTGCAAGAACCTAGTCCCAAAATAATTTCTTTTAACTGAAATTGCACCTAATTCCAGGTTAATTACATAAGTCATTTTATGAATGCTAACAAAATGCTATCTACCAAAAATTCAGTCATCAAACTTTGAAAAAATGAAAACCAAAGATGTCACAGTAAGATGACAGCTCATACACGAATAGTTATAATAAAAAGAGAAAGGCAGAAGCCTTGGTCATATGGAGGACCAGAAATATTCTCTGCTGTATTATTTTGAATAAAGACACCTATAGACAGAAATGCATTTTCCTTAAGATCAAACAGGACTGTTCACATGGCACAGCACGTGTTGAAGGAAGTCCCTGTTAGAAAGAGAGGTGCATGTTTATTAATTAGCTGTAATATTAGTTAGATTTAAAGGAAAACAAAACAATAAAACAATTTGCCATTTTGCAGCTCCTGCTCAACTCATCACTTGCACATCACCAAGATGTGAGCTCTGCTCTAAAACATTAAAAATATTATTTTACCAAGACTCTACTTACTTCTGATGTTTTACTTCCATTTTCATTTTTTGCTTTGGTGTTCGATCCCCATGGCGTATTACAGCTATAACACACCTAAGCTCCATCCTGAAATTTCAAGAGAGTTATATTTCACAGTTCTGTCTTTGAGGGTCTTTTATTTAATATTATAACCACCACAATCAAGACAAGTGACAAAGTTGTAGTCATCTGACATAACTACAGAAGTGATGGAAGCATGTGTAAGAATATAAGGTTAACTGAAAATTATGTAAGGTATAAAACATAAATATTGATTTTAAGACTTACATAACTACAGAACATCTATTTTAAGTAGTTTTTAAAACACTGATTTTGAGGATCATTAAATGAAATTTATTAGAAGCATATTAAGCTGGTGCTGGAACAATGATTAGCAGTGGAAGCTATGCATAAAAGACACTACACTTGAAAATCTGGTGTTCTATACTCAGCTTGACTAAGGGTGAGAAACTCTGACTGCTGGCATAGTATTTGTGATTTCTTCCTTGTTTTCTGCACACAAAACAAGCACTCATAGGCCAAAGTGGGCACACCTTGTAAAGAGAAAAAA